CTCCGAGTTGGCTGTTTCCCTCGCCACCTTTATTTCAGCCAACTCAGCCTCCATTTTGGAGACCGCCTTCTGGGCCAATTTGAGCGTATCTTCGCTCGCGTCCGCCGCCTTCTCGGCATCTGATCTCAATTGATCCGTGCTACAAGCCCTCTCCACTTCGGCCTCGGCCCTTGAGGCTTCTTTGTTCGCCTTCAAAGCTTCGACCTCGGCCCTTCTCCTCTGGCCCTCAAGTTTCTTTCGTAAATGACAAATCTGTTTGACGGCGTCGCAATGGCGACGGCCCATATCGGCTATCCTTCCGACGGTTTGCAAAACAAGAATTTAAAACCACAACTTCAACAATATTTGGATAAAGGGAGCCAAAGTCCGAATATGTACCAAAAGTGCCGATTGGGCGGCTAGTGCTGTCGCATTCAGATTTGGTTCCACCCGGAAAGCCTCCCTGTCAGACGGCAACGACACAGATGTAGCCAAGCTGAATGCGACTTCTGGATCTTTAAGCGCCGAAGCATCATAAGAAACCGGCATGTTTTTTATCGTCAGCTGAATGACAAAAGGAACGATCACATTCGATCCCTCTAATCGAGGACGTTTGCCGCTTTGTTCTTCTGAGCCGGCCTCAAATTTGGCAGGGCGTTTCGCTGCCTCTTCCTCAACTTCTTGGCCGTCTTGCACGACCAAAGTAGATTCAGCATTCCGAATTTTTTCCGTCTCCACCTCAATAATGCGCAAGGACTCTGATTCGCTAACAGGCAGGGAGAGTTAAGATCCGGTGGCGGGTGGTACTTCAGACGGAAGGGCCTCTACTCTTCGCCACGCGGCCAACCTTTCCGCATTCGCCTTCCTAGCAAGTTTCATCAGGCTTAACCAGGTCATGTCTTCAGGGCCTACAGCATGAAGATCCTCTAAGCCGTGAGAAACGTCGTCAAGTGAAATATCCCCTCGGCCCAAAGTGGATGGAGGATCGTCCGAATTTAATACCTCGTCAGACTCGGTTTCATACTAATCTGATTCGATAACATTAGCTACATCCCACTCCGAATCAGACCCTTCAAAACCAACTTGCCTCAAGTTTTTTAAGTCGGACAAAATAAGAGCGATAAGAGAATCTTCACCCTTTGGAACTGGGATATTTTCTACCGCCGAGAAGGTCGTATATGTCAGCTCGTAACGAAGCAGAACATGGGCCGCCCTCCCTTGTTTCTAAAGACTTCGACGGTCGAAATACTTGAGCACAACTTCGATATCCGAAAGAATGGCATCGTCAGTCGAAGACATGACTTTCTTCAAGTCGTTCCCTGCACAAGCCAAGTCGTAACATTTCAAAGAAGAGGCTTTACAATAAAAATGAACCAATAAAAATGAACAAATAATAAAAGCGAGAAGGCAATCGGCCCCCTGGCTCGCTCCTCCGTCTAGGAATAGGGTTGACGTGATCCTCCCCTTCGCCAAATTCCCAATTACCATGGACAACGACCATAACATCATCCACTCGTTTCCCAGAATTGGAAAGCATAGTAATTAGTTGATGGTCGATATCCTTGGTCCTAAGGAAGAAACGCCCGTACCGACCAGAAGACTTAGCCAAGGCATAGCAATGCCGGATGGCTGGAATGCTAAGGTTAATTCTAAGGCGACGGTTGAGCGCTATAACCCCCATTATAATTTTAAAAAAATTCACATTGAATTGGGAAGGGATTAAACCCCAATGGCGAAGCACAGCCCTAAGAAACGGGTGAAGGGGAAAACGGACTCCACCCTCTGCGATTGACAAAAGAGGAAAAAAAATCGAGCTTTTGTGCTCCCTCTCCATATCAAGAGTGCCATCTGCCGCAAACGACAGACGGACATCATCAGGAATGGAGAAATGGCGTTTAAAGCCAGCAATTTGATCCGACGAGAGAAAGTCTTTTAAATGTTTCGCCATACCCCACAGTTTATAAGAATATGCCAAGGAAGGAATAAACTAGAAAGTGTCTTCGAAGCAAGGAAGAAGAGAATTTACAAAGGACGAAGAGGATATCGGAGAAGAGAGTTGTAGGGACAATTCAAAAGGCAATCCAGCGACGAGCGTCATAAAATACATACTCGAAAGGACGTCAGAATTTTAAACCGCAATAAATAGATACGTACGAGAGGGCGGGAAGTTGGCACGACAACCGAAAGGGGTGGGCTTAGATATCCGCATGAGGATGAGGCCAACCGCTGAATTTTGGCTCTGGTTTTTCGAAATTTGGAACCAAGCACTCTAGCCAACTGTTGTTGGTAAAGTGCTTGGGGGGCAATTGTGGATCTGAATAAATAAAAGAGTCGGAAGGTGTGTACCCCAGAAATCAGATATTATTCGGCTCCATATTGCGTGACTAGGATGCCGAATACGTTAAGAAGGCCGAATAGCCGGAGATCAGTAGCTCCGAATAAATAAAAAGGGAATGGGATAAAAGTAGGCTCAGGCCCCAAGGCCCAGAAAGCAAGTATAAATACAAGAACCACAGATTTAGAAAGGTATGTAAGAATCACTTCACTTAACTTAGTAAAGAAGCTATCCTGAGTGTCTGAACTGACTTGTCCGTCGGAGTGCTAATTCCGGCACCCCCGACCGGAGTGTATGTTTGTATTTGCTTTCGCTAGCCCCTTAATTTTGCTTAATCTGCTCATCGACTTTCAGTAATCCCAGGATTACTAGCCGGTTACGGCACTAAACCTAAAGGGGCGAGTTTGGGTTCGTGACAGTGAGGTCTTTGTATCCCTTCTCGAATGCTATAGTTAAGCCTCGGTAAATTGCCCATAGCTTCGCCTCCAAGATTATACATACATCAAGCTTCCCAAGTGTGTGTTTGATTTTTGACCTCACAACCAAATAGGGAACTTAGTTGGAGAGCACGCGGCAGAATAGATTAAACCAAGCACCTACACACAAGAAGATGAGAATATCACGGTGGCTCGTCTACCAGGGGACACTCCAACGATCAAGTTAGTTACTTATCTCTTAAAGATATCAACTCAATTAATTGGTGTACAAGTGAAAGCATACCTTAGACCCACGTGGGTGCCTTACTTTTATAATAATTAGTACCCTCGTCCCTTAGAAGTCTCACTTCATAGGATTCAAGCATAGTATTTATCTTGGACTCTTAGTTAGATAAGAATGATCCCATTAAAGAGCCTCATCTCTATTCGAACTAAGCCTCAGCTTATATGTCCCCACAACTGCCCCTAGGTTCTATTACCTTGGCAACCTGGGGTGATGGAACCTATATCGTTTCTCCTAACATGTCGGCTAAACAACATGCTAGAGATACTCCTACCGAGATCATGACACGTTGGCTTCATAAAACAAGGACTTGCATGTGTCCACTTCTCAAAAACCAAGAACTAAAATGTTCTTTCTCATCTAAGATCAACATCTCAACTGAGATTGCACTACTAGTCAAGATCATGACTCCATTAATTCAAGAATTTCAATCATCCAGGATGCGCGTAAGTTGTCACGCCATAACTGCCTCAACCGTTTTGTCCACGTGTCATCACCAGATTGGAGTGTACCAATCACGTCCCCATCGTATCGCATCAGTTCTGCCCCATGCCGCCTGACGCTAGCACAGGCACATCGCCCAAGGCCTCGAAATCATAACTTTTAGCTACCTTTTTCTAATTCTAACAAAACCTTTTACTTTTCTCATTTCATCTCTATTTATGTCGTAAGACACTCTCTCTCTCTCTCTTGGCCTCTGCAAACCATCATCATTGTTCTTGAAGCTCTCATTGCTATGAATACTTCGTTCGTGCCCAAAGTTCAAACCCTACCAGCTGAACCAGACTAGCAACCAAGCACTTTATCAACTGCTCCATGCATCAACCCACTATCTTAATGGTAGTGCAAACACCAGCATAACGACAATCCTGCTACCAAAACTAGGAGCAAGAAACACCAAGGTCCTAAGCTCCTAGCCTACAACCTTGACAAACCTCCAATCACTTTATCTGTTCTATACTAACGAGTAACCATCGTCGTAACCAATGACAACATGTCTCGCCGACCACTTGTTGTAGAAGACCTTCTTGCTGACATCCCTGATGTCATAATTATGCAATCCACTCCATCTCCTTATAGTCAATCCAACATGCTCATGCCTCCAGCAACTCAACATCTCGGAAGAGAAGCACATGAAGCAAAAGGACCAGGCTACTGCTGCCAAAGCCGAGGCCATTGCTAAGGCTGCTGAAAATAAAGCTGTCGAAGTTAAGAAGAAACTAGTAGAGGCACTAACCAGCAAGGAGCAGACGCTAAGGCTTATCAAGATGGCCAAGACTCTATCCGAGATCAATATAAGGAGCAGGTCTACATCTCGGATAAAATCATCATCTTAGATCAAGTCATCTCGGGTCACTACAAGAAATTTCACTTTTGGCTATTAAAATTTTAGTCACAAAAAAGCCTTGTTTTTAGTTGCCAATAACTTTTGCCGACTAATATATTTGGTCGCTCATTTGGTCGCCAATAATTTGTCGAGGAAACGATCGGCGACTAAAATTTTTTTGGTAGCCAAAAGTGGCCTATTGGCAACTAAAACTTTAGTTGCCACATATTTTTTTAAAAATAATTAAATATATGTATTTTTTTTTTTTTTTAGTGACTAAATTATTTAGTAGCCAATTGAGCATATATGTTTGGCGACTAATTTTTTGGTAGCCAAAAGTTTCACTTTTTGAGAATTGGCAACTAAAAATTTAGTAGCCAAAAGTTTCTTTTTTACAATTGGCGACTAATAGTTTAGTAGCCAAAAATTTCACTTTTTGAGAATTGGCGACTAAAGCTTTAGCAGCCAAAAGCCAACCTGTGATATTTGTCTAGTCACCAAAGGTCTTATTTAGTTTTTATAATTTGATCTGTAATATTTTTTGCGCCACATGTAACCTGTGCATATACAAAATTATTCATCCATTCGCTCATTCATTCAATTCTCAACCATTCAATAAAAATATTTCTCCACAACCTGTACCATTCAATTTTCAACCACATAAAAATTTAACTATTAACCGTACATATCAAATAAAATAAGAATCAATAAACATAGTATAATCCAACAAATACATATACTATACAAACAAACAATTAAAATCCAAATTAAAGAAAATCTTAATAACAAAACATATCAGGGTCTGCATCTTCTTATCACATGCTCTTGATGCAGCTTCGGATATGGTAGAAGGGGGTCTCCATCTCATTCTATTGTTAAATTCTTACATGTAGGTCACCGCATCGAGAATCAATCCAGTCATTCGTCTTGTGAGACTTCTCATAGAATCTGTAAAAATCAGGCAACTCTTCATCGTTCTCATCTACCTGTTAATTTCTCATCTAACAGAATTGTTTTAAGCAAAGAATCCTAATGTGGAAAAAGATTAAGAAGGAATCTAGTGACACAAAGATGAACATAAATTTCGAATAAAAAATGTGAACCAACACCCAAAGTAACAAATGGACACCAAGATGAGCAAAAGTACTCTTATTTCCACTATGAGTGAATGAGACTTGTGCAAATTCCCACTAATCATCAATCCAACAAAACAAATTAAAATCAAATTAAAGGGTGTTTGGTTGTATAATTTAAGTTATTCAAATTACAAAATTATCTTTTTGCCTATCAACTTACACTTTAGTGGTTACTAAAAAGATAGCAATGCACATAATTTAATCCTAGCAAAGGGCATGAAGATTACCTTGTGAAAGGGGAAAAATGGAAATTTACTAGGAAAAATGAATAACAAATTTACTAAAACTTAACTATTATGACCATTATACATCATGTTTTTTTCATAAGCCTGCTAACATAAATATTATGACCATTACACATTATGTTTCTTTTCTTTTCCTTTCTTTTCTACAGCTTTGGGCAACCAGAAGTAGAATTAAGGAAAAAGAAAATTCCTTCAAACTTTTAATTAGAAACAAAACACACACACACACACACACACACACACACACACACAAAGAAGAAGAAGAAGAAGAAGAAGAAGTACTGCACTTCAAACTCCTTATTCATTCTCCTTGATACCACCACTAGAAAAGCATGCATTGACAAACTCCATCAAATAGAAATCATCAGCAAAACATTTTATACAACAAAGCATCTCAACAATGGGAATAACACATATCCACGATGCTATGAATGCAAGGGTTCTACACAAATTCTACCCATTCTATACGAAATCAGCTAGACACAAAAGTTCTACTTGGAGAAAAATCTTTAACCGTTCTAATGGAGCAACAGCACTACGTGACCTGCAACATAAATTATATAGGATAGACTTAGTAAAGAGCTACTAGGTGAAATGAAAAGTTTACCGACTTGCGCAATTTTATCAACAAAACTTATGTATCTATCCTGTAGGCAGTAAAAATCATTATAACTTCATAACCATATAGAGGAAGTACATTGTGATAATTTTGCCATCAAGGTGAAGATGTGAAGTGAATATAATATTACCATAGGTAACAAGTTGGCCTATTTCTGAAAGCTACAAATGATCCCTTATGTCAGAGAATTTCATATTACTTTGTTGATCTACAGTCTCTATAACTTAACTATTATGACCATTACACATTATGTTTTTGACAGCGAATCATGCGCTTGGGTTTTGATTGGGACTTTACTGACATAAATATTCTGCTACTTGCTAAGTTAGCGAAGCCTTTAAGGGGAATTGCCCAGATAGTCATAAACAACATCCACATCAAGGGTGAAGTTTGTAGTTTTCTTCTCTCTTTTGGTTTACCTTTTACATTTAAAATTCTCTGTTATCATTCTTCTCTTTTTGGTAAATGAAGAATTAAAGTCACATCTATGAAATTGAAGAACTGGTAAACGTTCTTTGCCACCACTAGTGCAAATCAGGTAATGTTACAGGCTCAACTCCTCATTCACATAGTGAAAATGGGGGAAATAAAATAAATCAATAAAAGATTTTTTTTTTCTGTTGTTTTTTGGGAAGTGGAAATTGCATCAATAAAATTTATAAATTAATTAACTAAACTATGCTAGGTGATATTATATTTTGTTTTGTTTATATGTGTGTGGGTGTGTGTATTAGTGGTGGACATATGGAAATGTTATTTTAAAGGAACAGGAGTTTAAAAAAAAAAAATCCTTTTACCTAGTTCCAAATACAATATTAGAGTGAATTTTTGGCATGAATGTCTGCCTGATATAGTGAAGAGCATTTATGTAAGACTTTCTCTAGCTATAATTTGATATAGTGTTTCATCTAGGCTCTGTTACATTCAGACACTTGGACATATGACAATTCTAACAGTAGCATTACTCATGGAAACAAGAATATCCCACCACAATTCATTTTGCTCAGATTCTACAATTATGTTATGAGGATTAATAACAACATTCTACAAAATAACAAAATTTTAGCAGATAATCCTAGCAAAAACAAAAATAAATTCGTTCTACAACCAACAATAAAGCATGCAGTCAACTTAATTACTGAACCAACAAACCAGTCCTCGAAACCTCTCTATGACATTTTTACATACACTTGGTGAGCATAAATAAAAAAAGATTAGTTTGCTCACCAACACAGGAAAACAAACCAACCCATTTTCACAAACACTGGCACATGAGGCATAAATGAGTCACAGATCTCTCTTGCAGCACACTGAAAGTTGGATAAATAGGATGCTAACTTAGATGACTTCAATTCTCAAAAAAAAGAACATCCAAAACCTAAGAAACCCAAATTTCATTCATTGTTTTTGGGACATTTGAACAAGGGTCCCTCATAATGATAATTGTTTTTGCGAAATTAAAAGAGAGAGAGAGAGACCTTCCACTCGGAGAAAATAAAGTCATGTTTGGTACATTTATAGTCTTCTCTCTTTACGATGGCGATGGTAGAGGAGAAGGAGGTGCTCCGGTTGCCGACGAACGCAAGGAGGAACGGCGGTGAGAGAGGGATGGGAGAGGAGCAGCTGAGAGGAAGAGGGACAGAGAGAGGAAGTGAAAAGCTGAAGAGAGAGAGAGAGAGAGAGAGAGAGAGAGAGAGAGAGAGAGTTGCTATTTTGATACGGTTTGGGTTGGAAGCAAAATACATATATCATTAATAACAATTCGGGATTAAATATTTTAGTCGCTAATTACTTTTTTAATCCCTCCAAATATTCTAGTTTTTTAGCGACTAAAATATTCTTTTTGTTGCTGAAAATATACTTTTGGCAACCAAACTTTTGGTCGTCAAATATAAAAAATAAAATTTTTTCTTTTCATTCGGCTACTAAACAATTTTAGTAGCTAAAACTAACTATACGGCTACTAAAATATTTTTTTGTCGCTGAAAATATACTTTTGGTGACCAAACATAAAAAATAACTTCTTTTTTTTTTTTTTCTTCATTTGGCTACTAAACAATTTTAGTAGCCAAAACTAGCTATACGGCTTCTAAAATTTTTGTAGTCACCAATTGTGATATTTTTAGCGACTAAATTTTTTTTAGTCGCCAATAATCAATATTCCTGGACTAAAAAAAATTAGTAGCTAAATATTTGACTTTTGCTGACTAATATTATTTTTGGTCGCCAATTCACTACAAGAATTTACACATTTTGCGACCACTTTTACCGACCAAAGAAATTTTGGTCGCCAAAAAATGACATTTGGCGACCAAATATCAATTAGTCGCGAATGATCATTAATTTTGGCGACCAAATATTATTGGTCGCAGAAGGTTATATTTTGGCGACCAAAAAATGAGTTGGTCGCAAAAAGTGGTATGCTTTTACCGACCAACTACAAATTTGGTCGCGGAAGGTCACATATTTTTTGGCGACCAAAAATTTGGTCGCCAAAAACTTATTTTCAGCAACAAAAAAAAATTAGTCGCCAACTTAGTACTTTTAGCGACTAATTTTTTAGTCGCCAATTAGTCGCCGTTGATTGAGATTTGGCGACTAAAAAATTTTGTCGGTGAAGGTACATTTTTTGCGACTAATATGGTATTTTAGTCGCCAAAAGTTTGGGAGGGAAATTTGATTTTCAGTGGGGCGGGATTTGAATTTTCTTTCTCTCAATCGGTGCCCACTCTCTCTACCAAGCCTCACTGCCAAGTCTCAGCCTTTCTTTCTCTCTTTCTATCTATCTAAGAATCCTCCTCCACATCTTCTCTTTCTCTCTCTCAAAAAACCCCCATATTCAGTTTTGTATGGCAGTTCGCTTGCTAGCATACGAGGTAGCTGACCTCTGCCTAGGCAAGCTGCCTCTCAAATCTCTCTCAATCTCCGCCACCGTGGCCGACGCCTTGTCCGCCCTCAAATCCTCCTCCGACACCTGCCTCAGCGTATGGACCTGTGACCACTCCAAATCCGCCGCCGAGGAGTGTCGCTGTGTCGGAAAAGTCTGCATGGTCGATGTCATTTGCTACCTCTGCAAAGACGAAAACCTCTCTTCTCCTTCCTCTGCTCTCAAATCCCCTGTTTCTGTCTTGCTCCCCAAACTTCCTGGTCTCGTCAGGCACGTCGAACCCTCTTCCAGGTAACCCATTAACATTTCAATTTTAATCTGTTTTTGTTTGTATTTGCTTTTGTAGATTGCTTGATGATAGGTTTTTCAATGTGTAGAGGGTTTTCTCTAATGTCCTCTACATGTTCGATAAATTGCCTCAAAGAATTGACTCCACAATTCCACCCAAGAATCTATACATGTTTTAGGGCTTCCAATTTTTGTAAATCATGTTAATTATACATACACTTCCCAATTTTTGTAAGTCATGTTAATTATACATACACTTCCCAATTTTTGTAAGTCATGTTAATTATACATACACTTCCCAATTTTTGTAAGTCATGTTAATTATACATACACTTCCCAATTTTTGTAAGTCATGTTAATTATACATACACTTCCCAATTTTTGTAAGTCATGTTAATTATACATACACTTCCCAATTTTTGTAAATCATGTTAATTATACATACACTTCCCAATTTTTGTAAATCATGTTAATTATACATACACTTCCCAATTTTTGTAAATCATGTTAATTATACATACACTTCCCAATTTTTGTAAATCATGTTAATTATACATACACTTCCCAATTTTTGTAAATCATGTTAATTATACATACACTTCCCAATTTTTGTAAATCATGTTAATTATACATACACTTCCCAATTTTTGTAAATCATGTTAATTATACATACACTTCCCAATTTTTGTAAATCATGTTAATTATACATACACTTCCCAATTTTTGTAAATCATGTTAATTATACATACACTTCCCAATTTTTGTAAATCATGTTAATTATACATACACTTCCCAATTTTTGTAAATCATGTTAATTATACATACACTTCCCAATTTTTGTAAATCATGTTAATTATACATACACTTCCCAATTTTTGTAAATCATGTTAATTATACATACACTTCCCAATTTTTGTAAATCATGTTAATTATACATACACTTCCCAATTTTTGTAAATCATGTTAATTATACATACACTTCCCAATTTTTGTAAATCATGTTAATTATACATACACTTCCCAATTTTTGTAAATCATGTTAATTATACATACACTTCCCAATTTTTGTAAATCATGTTAATTATACATACACTTCCCAATTTTTGTAAATCATGTTAATTATACATACACTTCCCTTTTTTCTGTCTCAATTTGGCCTTTTCTGAAATTTTGGACTTGTTTACAAGTTGATTTTTATGTGTTTGGGTAAGCAGGTTCGTTCTTGGGGATGCATACATTGCATTTGAGTGTTTCAAAACTATCAATTAATTTTTTTTTAGTTGTTCTGTTACATTTGGGGCCATAGTGGCTGCTCTGGAGCTAAGTAAGAACAAAAAGATTAGATCAATATATTGTACGTTAACATCCAAGTCAATTAGCTTTTTTAAATTTTAAATTCTAATTGCTTCCTTTGTCGTGCTTTTGTCTTGTTTATTATAGACATATTTGTGACACGAGGATATATCTTGCAATCACTGCTGGTTTTATGCAAGCCATATTTAAAAAAGTTTAAAGAAAAAAAAGAAGTTAACATGGTAAAAATTATGCTATTTGCAATTAGATTAAGTTATATCCCTTTGTTATTCTCCCTTCCCAACTAACATGTAACCCCCACAAACTTTTTTTGACGTATACCATGCGACAAAAAAGAAAAAAGATGAAGAAAAGATTAAGCTATATTTATGTATATATATTCATAGGTAAACAATTCAATTAAAGGTTCTAGAAATGGGGTTCAACATCTACATAGTAGGGGTATTAAAGAAAAGCTAGCTATATCACATCAACAAAAGAATTTTTATTTTTTTATGAAATCAATAGAAGCGACTAAACAGTCACAAAACGTCTCATGTAACCAAAATACTAACCATGTTGGAATGCCACTACACATGTAACACCAATTAGGAAGCATCTCACCCGCTTTCCCAAGGTGTCCAAAGTCAAGATGGAATCTAAGGTTGCAGTCCATACAAACACCTTCATGTGAACCCCAACTTTCTTGATATTGTCCCATGCAATGACTTGTCGGTGGTACCCGTTGAATCCCATTTTAGCGATTTAACAGATAATCTCTCACCATTAGCTTTCCACACCATCCTATTCTCCCTTGGCCATGCACCATTCTCCTCATAAAGAATGTGAATGAGTCACCCACTGCCTCCAAATTCTAATAATGTAAATACTATGATGTATTAGTGATCCTTATGTAGTTTGAGACCCAAGGCATCCTTATCCACTGCAATCTGAAACTAGTCGGGAAAAGCCCCACCGATAAGGGAACATCCCCACATTAGGTCATGCCAGAATTTAACTTTCCTACCATCTCCAGGGATGATTTCCCACGTCTTCTAGAATACATATAATGTATATGGCTTTTCAAATAACAAAATGTGTATATGGCGTATATGGAGTGCTACTGCATTTATTCAATATGCATTTCAGTTGCTTATGGAAGCCTGGAGTTCTCATCCAGTAGTGTTATATGCAGTAAGACATGAAAATTCTAATGCCTCTTTCCTAAGTGACCTTCATGTCACTTGATGCATCATATGTTGGATTTTGTTTATTGCAGGGATAATTTCCTGTCAAAGGGGTTCAAACTGGTTCTGTAAGCTACTGGAAGAAGAAGTAGAAGAGGAGCTATATGTTGGAGAGGTAAGTTAATAAATTATTTTTGTATTTTACATTAATGCTCTTAATTGGTCATAATGCTTATTCATAAGTGTTATATGTATAGATGATATTCTGAATACATAAATTACTTATCCAAAAAAAAATTATGAATATAAATGGAATTAGATGATTTTGTCCAATCCGATGCTAGAGAAATGTGGAGTTCTTTGAGCATATGAAGAAGGCCCCCCTCCCCTTCCCCTTATGTCCTTACTTTCCATCTTTTAACAGTACTGTCTATTTACCTATTTAATTACCCAAACCCTTCATTATTTAATATAACAAATCTTGTTTCCTTTAGGGTTGAAGTTGTACTATGGGGCAAGAGTTTTGTATTAGGAAGGTTATGTTTGCAAGGAATGAAATAAGATGTGAGGTGTTTTTTTTATAATATCTAAATTCTTTGTGAAAAAATAGAGTAGATTAAGTTTAGTGGTGAAAAGAGTAGCATCTTTACTTATGTCTTCAAAGGTATGCTAACTATGGTTTTTGCCCATTTGAGCCATTGTCTATGATAATAGCGTGCTTTCCTCCTGCTTAGTTCCTTTAAGTCTATTTAATTTGCTTGTTTTGTTGTTCGTCCAACTTTTTGCTTTGATTGGGAGAGATCAGGAAGAAGGAATAGGTGATTGTCATGTTAAAATACTTTTTGTGCTGTATGCTGCAAAACATTTCCATTAGTATGCATCTCTTAAATTTATTTTGCTGGGTTTCACCATAAGGGAATGTGAATGAACTTTTGTAGACAGTTAAACAGTATATATTAATGAACCTCTTTTGATTTTCTATTAACTTTGGATTTTGGCAACAACTTTCAGATTATATATATTGTGGGAGTTGTACTATGTTTGATTATGGTAGGATATAACATTGAATTATTTTTGACAATCAGATTGAGTGATGTGGCTGATCCCATGGCTATGAAATTAGCAATACCATTGTGCTAGCAATCACACTTCTTTTTCCCAATCAAATGCGTTATAGTAAACAAGAAAAAAACATGTGGATCCATGCGATTGACAATCCCCCTCCCCTCTGGATCCCCGCTCTATAACGTGTATCAAACATGGTCTAACAGTGTGCATCTAGGAGAATTACATCAGGTAGTTGCTTTTGATGTTAAACCTGATTTTGGAATTTATGATGAGTAGATTTATTATTTATGCATTGTAAAATTGTTTTTGCAAATCCATATTTATTTTGAAAATTATTCATAGTTGTCAAATTGAGAATCATATTGTGAATCAAATCGAATGGAGAATCATTAGAATTAAGTACAAACTTGTTATAAAATAGTTCTTAATGATAACTCCATCTAAAAAGCTAAGGAAGCAGCCCTTTAAGCTGGTAACAAAATGACATTCAACTTTTACGAGTTGATCTCTATCTACTCAATCTTGAAATCAAGTTCAAGTTCGACCAATTTATGCACAAGAATCAAGCTCAAAAGGGCTCCTAATGGGCTTATATGAATTTTTTCACATGCAACAAAGCTTGATCTACAGCCCTAGCCCCAACCAAGCCAAGAATTGACCGGCTCTCCCTAAGTGAAAATGTTGTCTCTATTGATTGAATTTCTGATGATTTAACAATAGCTGAAGTATTATATAGATATAAAGGTATGTGCTTGGTTGATGTGGAATATCATTAGTAGCATGTGAAGATAAACATTTAGTGTTCTTGACATTGGGCCTTGGAACTGTTTTGCAATGAGTGCAAGACAGGTGTTTACTCACCTACCTTCTATAGAAATACCCCATCTCCTCATTCTGTAGGGCTTATCGTGCACTTCGTCTTGGGCTCTCAAACTAAGCTTATGTGGATTAAATACTCTAAAATAGTGCAGCAGACTGGGTTGTTTGAGGTTGACCACCAATTTTATATTTGGACTTTGGCATGCATTTCAGGTATGGATTTGAATCAAGATGTCCCATAATTTGAGGCAATGTTTGGTAAAGACATTCATATTTTCTCTTATTTATATTCTAAGGTAGAACAAAGTTTCTACATAAGCAGGAAGTCTAACACAGCAGTTCATTGATATGGTTGTAACATAGAAATAGAGAAGAAATACTTCAGCATGCTTGGCAATTATTGTCACTCAAGCATCAAACCTGAATAAGTGTCCACTAATATGAGCACTCAACTTCTGCTGTGAATCCTGCCTTTCTAAGTTCTTCTGCATAGCAGAGTCTTCTCTTTCTTGTCTATTCTCCATCTCTTCTAACTTGCCATTCATATCTGCAGTTACTACCTTGCTCTCTAAACTGCTGGGCACATCAGCAATCATGATTATGGAACCTGACTCATCCCTATCGTCAAATGCAATGACTTCAGCTGAAATAGATTTAGAATAAAAACCCCCATCCTGTTTGTGATTTCCATCATCCGATGCACAGTCTTCAAATGCATGAGGCTCCAAAGCCTCAGTCCAAACTACTTTATTATTCTCCTCAAGAACTATATGAGTATCCAAGTTCCCCTTTCTGTCCTGCCCATCTACTACATTACTGAAGATCTCCTCGACCTCAAAAAATTCTTCAGGGGAAGCACTTTCTTCTTCATCCTCATCTTCACTTTCTGTGGTGATGATAGGTAGAACTGCATCAGCATCCGAAAAGATAACCTGATACAAATATGAGTATGCATTCAACCCATACAGCTTCAGATAAAGGACATGCCACCTAAGTAAAACAAGATCATACCTCTGCTTTGAACTCCTTTGGAAACTGGTCCTTTGCACCCCACAAAACATCAACTTCATCACGATTCAACATCAAAACATTTGAACGGACAAATGCAGTGTGGAACATAACTCTGAACATCATTTCCTCCCTTACTAGGTCATTGTCCAAGTGGATGCACTCAAGAACAACATCCCCTTGAACACGACAATGAATATCTATTTTCACTAGTTCACACTCTTCCTGCAGGTAGAAGTCATAAGTACACTACAAATCCTTGTCGCATAATCCTTTAGCTTTGAAATGTGTGAATTTGGCATTACCTGTTGGTAATGGCGAGCACGTTTCTTTGTCTTGGAAGTCGAAAACAGAAGCTTTGAACTTTTAGTGGCTGTGGTAGAAGAAGAGTCCTGACCATAAATGTGAACAACCGGTCGGCAACCCCTTCCTCCGTCAAACAAGGGAATAACTCTAAGAATAATACAATCCAAATCTAAGGGAGTATCTGATGGTGGCCAATCTGAACCCAAATCCCGTCTGGAAATGTACTGAAGATATCTCAGCTGAGAAGGTTGTGGATTTAAAGGAGACAAAAGATGAAGAAGTTGCCTAGGAGCTTGCTTGTATACCATTTCAAGAGTCTTCTGCTCACCACTATACTGTTTTCGGTACAACAGAAGACCAGCAAGAATAAATGCAAGCACAGGCCATCCTCCCCTTTCGCAGTGCATCAACAGTACATTTTGTTGACCCTCCAATGATAACCAGCTCTCACTGGACCGAAGGAAGTGGTACATAAGTGTGGGCAGGGCAGGGCTCACGGCCGTGACTCTGAAACTTCTGAACGAGCACATTATGCAATATCACCAAGTGCTCAACTGGTGATGTCTGAGTCTTAAGGTCGGTCAAAAATGGGGTGTCTACACCTTGGCTCACCTACATGTACATGAATGAGTGTGAGCGAATGCCCAGTGAATAATATCAAATGAGGAAGATACATAAGCAATCATTGAAACAGTTACAGTAAACGGCCTTTGGCCTAATCGTTTATATCTATCGGCCTTTGGCCCAATCATTTATATCTATGGGCCCTTGGCCCAAACATTTATGTCAATTGGCCTTCGGCCCAATTATTCATGTTAATCGGCCTTCGGCCCAATCATTCGTATCAATCGGCCTCTGGCCCAATCATTCGTATCAATCGGCCTTCGGCCCAATCATTCGTATCAATCGTTGTCCTCCATTCAGATTAATGAACTTACAAAACTTACATATAAGTAAACAATTGGACAACAGTATATTTCAAATATCTTAATAAGATATTACATATAGTGATCGGTTTGTGGATTTGCCCTGGAGCTTGACCCTACACATTCCATGAACACAAAAGGGTCACTACAATTCAATCCGTTCTAAATTCACATTTTCCTCTTTAGGCTTTATTATTATCTCTTTAACTCATTCACAATGTTTAACACATGCCTAAGAGTGCTTGCAAGTGAAAGAGAACGGAAAACGAAACACAGGATGCGAAAACAAAATTTCAGAAAATAGGGTCCTCGCTCGAGCGTGGAATACCCCGCCCGAGCGGACCCTTAAGTCCTGCAAAAGTACTGGTTACATGAAAAATAAGCTCGAGCATGAAATAGGAAGCTCGAGCAGAAGACCTGTCTACAAAGCTCCACGCTCGAGCGTGAAATATCCCGCTCGAGCGGACACCAAGTCTGCTAAAAGTACTAGGAGCATGTAATTTACGCTCGAGCGTAGGTTCTCCCGCTCGAGCGAACCTCAAAATTCTGGAAAATCCAAAATGTGTTCTTGAGCTCCCTCTCAACATTCAAACCAACATTTCTGGCATTTTATGGCTCCGACCTCGTATATTCTTGTACTAACATGGTATAAACACTAAAACACATCATCATGGAGCTCAATATCATGAATTAAACACATGCATGGCTCATTTCCCACCAAACTCACTACCAATATAACAATTTCATGCATTCAACATTTACACCCTTATAATTTGCACATGCATGTGGTATATTCTTCTCATTCTCAACTTATATGATGAAGAGGTGGTCAAGAACATGATCTTCAACTAAAAACTCACATAGATCATGCATTTGGTGCTCAAATATGCAAATTCAAAGCAACTACATACATGCATGCTAATATGGACCCTGAATTCAACATGGCAACTCAATTTCATTCCAATTCTTGTTCTTGACCATTCATCAACTTTAAACACACAAGATTACACATTACACTCATGAATTCAAGAGTCAATTGCTTACCTAGAGGCTCAATTTATTCCAATCACTAGCAAATTCTTGAATAATCTTTGAGATCACCAAGCTTCGAGACCAAAACCCCAATTTCCTTCTCCCTCTCTCGCTCTAGCGGACCCTCCCCTTTTCCTTAGAGCAATTCGGCTCCAATGAGTAAGAAAAAGGAATTGAGTGTGTGTGTAGTGCTCATATAAAAGTCCCTCTTGTGATATTATTATAATATCAAATAATAGAGCACTAATTCACTAATTATATCAATTTAATTTGATCTGAATCAATTTTCAATTAAACTTCACTGTAGGTTCTAAAAATTATGCCAATCACAATGGCGCAATCAATTTTGGTTTCGGTGGCCGTTAAGGCCTTCAATTTAATTTCCAAAGCAGATAATCAAACAGATAGAAATTCAAAACCACATATTTTCACATAATGGCACACAAAATTATGTTAAACACATAATTACATTCATGTTAAGGACCAATTAACATATTACGGGACAGGGATATCACAAATATGTTCGTCGCCGTTAAGTGATAGTTGGCTACTAAAAGATTTTAGTTGGCATAATTTATTCCTTTTCCGACTAAAATTTAAATAAGTCGCTAAAAGGTTGAAATTTGAACCCGCGCCATTTCTTTTATTGCTGCGCGCGCGTTGTTCTGCTTGGCAACAATGTATCATTCACAACTTCACAACAGTGTATCACACATACACCTCACCAAATCTCACACAAATCAACCCCTCTCACCATAGCCTACCGTACAGGCGCCATTGCGACGGCCACCGCCACCGGCGCAACTCACCACTGTCGCAGCTGCACGTCACAAGTTCTCTCTCTTTCGCTTTCACGCTCTGCTTCTCACTCTGTCTGTGCGTCCGTCTCTCGCTCCCTCATTCTATCTCCCACAATCTATAGTTCTGCTGGCTTCTCACTCTGTCTGTGCGTCCGTCTCTCGCTCTATCTCCCACAATCTATACTTCTTCTGTGTTCATATATATATATATATAAATATATATGTATGTGCAGTTTTTGTTTTTGTTTTTTTATTATATATATATATATTTGTAATAAGCAGAGTTATATATGCACCTTACTTGCTTTAGGGTTTCAATTTCTGTATATTTACTCTTGCGTGAAACTCTCACTCTGTTGACCCATTTTTAGAGTCAATTTGATGCACCTTACTTGTTTTACGGTTTCAATTTCTGGGTATTTGATACATTGTGCCTTTGACTATCTTATTTTGTAAGCTAGCAGATAGATTGGGGAAGATATATATATATATATATATGGGGCAAAGAGAATCTGGTGTAGGAGCTGTACTATTCTTTCTGGCACTGCATCACTTACTTTTCAAGAGAGTGAAATATCAGTACATAGGTTAAAGGCCACTTTATATCGTAGTTTCACTTTTGGCTTAGAGAAAAATTTGTGAAACATCTTTTGCTCTTTTAGATTTTTTGGGAAAGCTTTCTTTTGGAGAGGGTTTATTGTTTATTTTATTTATTTATTTTCTTCTTTTGTTGGTATATGCCACATCAGGCATGGTTGAATAAAATTACTTCATAAAAAGTGTGTGTGTATCCTCCATGTTATCTAGATATGCTTTTTCTCCATGTGATTGACAGAAACCTGTATGTTGTGCATGTGCAGTTTCCTGTTGAATGCTCTCTTCCCTGGATGCTGGTGGATAATATGATTGAGTCCCAAAATGAAAGAAGCCCCCGAACCGCCGTGTGGCCGACACGGGAAGCTTCCTCATGCCAAATAAGACGTGTGACAACTGACGGAATGTTATTCGGACCCATAGGTTGGGATTTAGAGCCGAATACGCCCAAAACTTAGTCGAAAAAGGGCGTTTCGGGGGCAAATATTCAAAACAGCTCTTGAGCCACCGTGTGGCTGAAATAAACAGCTTTTCCATGCCAAATAGGACTTGTGACAACTGACGGAATGTTATTCGGACCAGTAGGTTGGGATTTAGAGACGAATACGCCGAAACTTAGTCGAAAAACGGCCTTTCGGGGGCAAAAATTCAAAACAGCCCTTGAACCATTGTGGGACCGAAACGAACACCTTCCCCATGCCAAATAGGACTTGTGACAATTGACGGAATGTAATTTGGACCCGTAGGTTGGGATTTAGAGACGAATACGCTGAAAATTTAGTCAAAAAAGGGCGTTTCGGGGGCAAAAATTGAAAACAGCCCCCGAACCATCGTGTGGCCAACATGAACACCTTCCCCATGCCAAATAGGACTTGTGACAACTGACAGAATGTAATTTGGGCTCGTAGGTTAGGATTTAGAGCCGAATATGCCCAAAACTTAGTCGAAAAAGGGCGTTTCGATGGCGAAATTCAAAACAGGCCCCAAACCGCCATGTGGTTGACACGAACAGCTTCCCCATGCCAAATATGACTTGTGACAACTGACAAAATGTTATTCGGACCCGTAGGTTGGGATTTAGAGATGAATACGCCAAAACTTAGTCGAAAAACCGCCTTTCGGGGGCGAAAATTCAAAACAGCCCTTGAACCACCGTGTGGCCGACACGAACACCTTTCCCATGCCAAATAGGACTTGTGACAACTGACAGACTATAATTCAGACCCGTAGGTTGGGATTTAGAGACGAATACGCCCCAAACTTAGTCGAAAAAGGGCATTTCAGGAGCGAAAATTCAAAACAGCCGTTGAACCGCCGTGTGGCCGACACAAACAGGTTCCCCATGCCAAATATGAATTGTGACAACTGACGAAATGTTATTCGGACTCGTAAGTAGGGATTTAGAGCCGAATACACTGAAAACTTAGTCGAAAAAGGGCGTTTCGGGGGCGAAACTTCAAAATAACCCCCGAACCTCCGTCTGACTCTCACGAGGAGCCTCTCCATTACAAATAGGACTTGTGACAACTGACGGAATGTATTGGAGATGTATAGTAATGGAAAATTATGAAAAACATATTCAGAAACCAATATGAACTCAGTTTACGCCTTGTTTTAAACTTGCTACTTTTTTGAACGTACACACGCGTGTTATATTATATTTAAGCTTTCATACAAGTATGAAACATGCTCATGGTGTTTTTGAGGCCATGTGCGTCATGAGAAATCAAGTATTCTTTCTTTGATGAACCATTTATAGGTGTTTCAACATATATTTCTACATATTTCCGTTTATGATTGAAATTTTTTTTTGTTATTATTTTTATCACATGTTCTAATATCCCTTTTGAAATGGCATTAACATACAGTAATAAGCACCAATGGTTTTATATCCAATCTAATGATTCAAGTGCCTTTTGCAAACAAATAATGAGGAAGTTGGTAAAAAGAATACTTTATATTCACATTGTGCTTTGATATTGGTTTAGCCACAGAATTTGGATACATGTTGCATACAAATAGAAGATTGTTACATTAGCTTTATGTTACTAATAAAAGATTTAGTAATGATTGTTCTGCATTTAACAATGTTCCTTATAACAAAAGACTTTAGAAAGACTG